ATACCCCAAAGAGACTGGTAGATGCTTTCAATCTGTGCCAAGTCGATTGAGTGATACGAGTTTATCCTCGTAATTTCCCTTGATTCTGTGTGTGTGATGTGTACCATCAGCTTCCCTCATGCTGCTGCAGAAGTCACTTTGTGTACAGTGGAGGGAGTGCAATGTCCAGAGTGGAAGGAACTAGACAGATTTCCAGAGGTGGAGTGTCTAAAAGTGGAAGCCACCTTTTTGTTGTTTTTTTTTCCCCCCAAGCCAGAATAGTAGCAGTAGAAAGTCACTAAAGGGAAGTAGGAGTAGGTGGTGGGAACCAGGATAGGGGAACCTTCCAGTGGGGGAGCTGCCTTGGTGGATCTGTAATTATTATTTTTTTGTCACTAATAAGTAAATGTTCTTTAAAAAATGTACTGCTCCCCCTCATACTTGAGTTAACGTCAGCAATTGAGTACGTCAGTGGCTTTATGATCTCACTGAAGTGGGTAATCCCTTGGTAGTGTAGGTTATGACCCATCCATGCTTTCTCATCCTATTGCTATTCTGGCAGGAGGATCCAGAATTATGAAATTAGAGATTGTTGAATTATTATTATTATTATAATTACAAGATGAACAATTGAAATAACTGGAATATTTAACCTGGAAAATGGAAGATAAATGTTGTCTTCAAATATGTCAGAATAGAAGGGGAATTCCATTCATTCTCTTGCTCCAGAGGGCAATGAGTACCACTGAGCAGAAATAAGAGAGAGGCGGATTTTGGCCCAAGGTAAAACATTCTTCAACAGATCTGTCTATAAAGGAAATGGACCACTTTATTAAAGATTGAGTCAGCCTTCCTTGGCTTCATTGAAGAGGAGCCCTATGATGAGGTATTTTATTTTAGACAGATCTATGATCTATGATTTCTTTGGGATAAGGAACTCTCAGTGAGGAAGCTTCCTCTACCAATGTAGATTTTCAACTTCTCTGAGATTTCTGGTCTTAGAGAGTTGGGGGTGGAGTGGTAGACGGGGGAGACAAGAGGTTAAGGGACTTATCTAGGGTAATGCATCCAGTTGTGTCAGAAGCAGGTATTAAGCTCATTTCTCCTGGACCCTGAGGACAGCCTTCCAGATCCAATTATGCTATGATGCTTGCCAGAGGCCAGAGAGAAAGCCAGCTCCCTCTGAAATCCAAGTCGAAAATTCTCACCTGCCTCCTTTTGTCGGTTCTCAGTGGAAAATCTGCCTGACCCCCTGGGGGCCCTCCTGTAGGCCTTTTGACTTTCAGCGATGATGGATGACCTGTGCCAGTGCTCCATTAGGAGCTTAACAGTCCCCAAAGCAACCAAGCAAGCCCTATGTCTTGCCTGGGCAACTTGGAAGCTTTCCTTATTTATTAATTAATCTATGTCAGTATTCATTCATTCATCATTTATTTATTCATTTGTTAATTTGATCATTTATTTATTTGCTTGCTTATTTACTTATTTATCTATGTCTATTCACCCATTTATTTATTCATCTATCTATCTATCTATCTATCTATCTATCTGCTTCATCTTGTCATGGGTAGTCTTTACAAAGGTACCATCACATGGAGCCACCTTATGGACAGCCTGTACAAAGAAAGTGTGAGCTCTCCGTGCTGGAGAGAAAGGTCAGTGCTAGGTCAGAGATCTAGACCCCTGTCCTTGAAACTCTCACCAATAGTTGGATTCCTCCATGAGGGATGCGCATCTCCCTGAACCTCTTCCTCTTTTCTCAAGATGTGGCAAAGTGAGAAACTGCAGAGTCTCGTCTCAGGTTGTGTCAGTCCTGTCTGACCCTTCATGACTCCATGTAGGGTATTCTTGGCAGAGATACTAGAGTGGCTTGCCATTTCCTTCTCCAGTTCATTTTACAGATAAGGAAACGGAGGCAATCCAGGTTAAGTGAGTTGCCCAGGGTCACACAGCTAGTAAGTGTCTGAAGCCATATCTGAACTCAGGGAGATGAGTCTTCCTGACTTCAGGCCTGGCCCTCTATCCACCAAACCACCTATCTGCCTTATCCATCATGCCACCCAAAACAGAAACCTCTTCTCCGCCATGCCTGGTGGGGACAACAAGCATTGCCAAGAAGAGGCATCTTCTTGAATACTTAGAGATGGAGGCCTCACTTTTTCACTAGGAAGCTTTTGTAGTCAATTCCATTAGAAAGTTCATTGGGTGGAGTCAAAATCTGCCTCCCTCTATGTCCTGCCCAGTTTCTCTTTAGGTTTTCTGGAGCTACCAAGAATAAGCCTAATTTCTCTTCTTTTCTTCAGTATTTAAAGACAGTCACCACATCACCCCTGTCATCTTTTGTTTTCCAGGTTGAACTTCCACGAACTCCCACTTTTCAACTTTCCAGTTGAAAACTGTTCCTCATATGACAATATTAGTGATAATAATCATCATCAAATGTTTCAATGAGCTGTGACTTCATTCATGAGGCTACTTCTCTTGTGAGAGATAACAACCCGTCTATGACTCAGCCTACAGTTTTTAAGAAATGCTATGACTGAAAAAGTTACCACCTCACAGCCAGCCTGGTGCTGAAGGGCCTCACCTGTAGCTGAGCTGGTTCTCAAGTGGCAGGCAGAGAGATCGCCCCTATGCAAAGCCTTTCCAGCTTGGGAGGACAGTAGGCAGGCAGACAGAAAAACAGACATAGACAACATTGTGTGTCAGAGGCTATGCTAAGAGTAGTAAGCAAGACAATCCCTGCCCTCAAGGAGTTTATATTTTAGTAGGGAAGACCATGAAACATGAAGGGGAGCTGAAAAGGGGTGGGTGGGGGTTGGCCTAGTTTGGAGCTGGTGGTCGGAGATGAGGTAGAGATATGGCAATAGCTTATGCATCACTTAGTCACAGAGCTGTGATTACATTTCAGGCTTCCTGACTTGCCTCTAGCAAGCTCCTCCCTACTTCTCTGACTTCCTTTCACTGCCTCAGTCTCTGTCCCCACCTCCTTCACTTCCCTATTGCCACTTAATTAATCAATTGCCCGATATTCATTAAGCACCTGTTAGGCACTATGTCAGGTGCTGGCAGTATGCAGAAAGTGGTCTGTGAGTTCCCCATGTCCGGAAGGAGGAGAGGGCCACTGAATAAACTGTGTTTAGCACAGAGAAGGGCCTCTCCCTAATATGTTTTTTTTTTTTTTTTTTTTTTTTTGCCTTTGAAAACAGTTTTGTTGCTGGCAGGGTGATGAGTATTTAAAATGTTTTTAGTGAAGGAGGATATACCAAACTAATCTGAGTCATTGGCTCCATGTATACCTAATCTAAGATTTCAGAGGGCATGGGTGCATAAAAATATTGGAATGAATGAATGGATGGGAAAGCGTTCGTTAATCACCCATGCTGTGCCAAGTAGGATGTAGCATGCTTGGGGATCCAGAGCCAAATGGGTCGGGGTTTTGCAGGTGACTCTAAAAAGATTCCCTCACGGCAATCACTTAAATGCCCAACAAATCAAAGAAGAAAAGAATTCTTTCGGGATCATCTGCAGAAGCTGGCAGCCACGGTCTATTCACCGAATCATAGATTTAGAGCTGGAAGGGACCCCAGATGTCGTCAAATCTAACTCCTCATGTTACGGAAAGGAAATGGAGGCCCAGGAGGTTAAATGAACTGCCTGGAGTCACACAAACAGTCTCTTGCAGAAGCTATTTCAGGGACAATCTCTGCTTTCCTAATGATCTGCCCTCCACCACTGCGGTGGAAGATTTAGTTATGCAAACTTGAAATGAACAGAAGGAAACTTCTGCCTTCTGGTTGAATGAGGCCATATTGAAACTTTCAACTGTTTTGACTAATGGTCCTGTGCTAAAGCTTAGGATGTGGCTGAGGTATATGCCTGCAGATACAGTGAGGTTTTGATTTAGAAATACAGAAAATCATATCAGGTACTGATTGCATATATCTGCACCAAAACATACTTGAATTGGTCACTTAATTTACCTTTCGCTGATTAGTTACGGCAGCCATCGAATCAAGAAAAAAGTGATGGCAATATTTGGTTGGGTTTGATCTGATTCAACAGGCATTTATTATGTGCTTGCTATAGTAGCTAACATTTGCATGGAGCCTTAAGGCTCATAAAACACTGGAAATATTGTGTCATTTTATCCTCACAAAACCCTGTGCTGTAGGTATTATTATTATCCTTATTTTACAGATGAGAAAACAAAGGTTAAGTGACTTGCCTAGGGTCACACAGCTAGTAAGTGTCTGAGGCTGGATTTGAACTCAGATCTTCCTAATCCAGCACTCTATTCACTGCCCCACCTGGACAACTAAGCTGCCTTTACCCTGTACAGAGCAGGAGAGGCAGAATGTCCTAATGAAAGCAGAGCTGTCCTCTAAGCCCAGAAGACCCAGGTTCAAGTCCTAGCTCTGGTAATACTGGCTGTTTCACCCTGGGAAAATCACGTCAGCCCTGAGCATCTGTAGGCAACCTTCTAACACTGTAAGTTGCCAAAAGTTCTCCATTGGTGGAGGGAGTGCCTCACCGAGTGCTCTCCAGACCAATGAAATCACCTATCTGGGAGGAAAGATGGGTGAAGCCTTATTGTAGTGACTGTCACACAGAAACTAAAGTGGAACTGGTCCTGCCCTTAGAGAGCGAGCATTCTGCTAGAATGATATAGTGTGGACAGATAGATAAGCACAAAGTCTATATGAAATAGGAAAGACACCCTGTATGAAGTAGTGCCTGAGCTGTGCTTTGAGGGAAGTAAGGATTCTGAGAGGGAGAGGTGAGGAGGGTGGACATCCAGGCACTTAGACACCATGATGCCTTGAGTGGGGAAGTCATTTACCTGAGGTCACCTAGGAAGGGATAGCGTTAGGATTGGAACCCAAATCATGTGACTCCAAGCCCCCAAGGCTGAGAGTATTGTAATGGGCCTGACTTCTGAGATTTCCTGAAGGAAGACTTCTTGTTTGTCCTTTCTTTCATATTAATTTTCTTCTTCTTTGACCTATTATTTCATTCAGAACCTGGTGCTGTGAAGTTAGCTTCACTTGAAAGTGTGTTTGAGAAATGGAAGAAAACCCTGCATAGAAGGGGCAAGGAGCTGAGCACTTGGGGTCTGCTTCCTGGGCTTCTGCCCAGGTAAAACAGGTGAGAGCTATTGACATGGCACCTTTGTGGCTCCTCTACAAAACAGACTGAATGAAATCATCTCCTTGTGTAGACAAGGAGGGATGAGTCAGACTATTACAAAACAGATGTGGCTCTTCTGTCTTCAGGATGGAAAAAAGCACCAATTCTCCCCCTTTGGGGGTGCTGTTTGTGCTGGCAATGATGGTGGCATGGTGGAGCGTTTGTCACATATTGGGATCTCAAGGGCAGGAGTCTTAATCGTCACTTTCATTCCTGTCTTCCAGGGAAATCTTACACAGCTAGAAAGCAATGGAGATCTCAGAGCATTGCATCAGATGGGGAGAGGACATGAAATGATACCATAGGCAGAAAAATCAACTCTCTAAGGAGAGGAGAAAGAAAAACCCAACCACCACTGATTGCTTAAAGACGAAACTCTTTTTTAAAGTGAGGTGTTAGCAAGGATAACCCGTCCATTTCCTAGCGCTTGCCTTCAGCACCTGGCAGTGATGAGGGAGGGTGGGCATTTTACAGATGAGGGGGCTGAGGCTCCCAGAGGGGACGTGCCTGGCCCAGCTCAGAAGTGGGCAAAACTTACCCTGATTTGAGAGATAAGTGAGGGGCCCAGGGCAAGTTGGCTGCTTGCTGCTGTTAGCAGTGTTGGCCAGCCCTTAGAAAGTGACCTTAGGATGGAATGTGTGCTTCATGGATCTTACGATTCTTCTTTGTTATGGAATCTTAGAGTTGGTCCAACGTCTTTGTTTTACAGTGAGGAAACTACTGCCCAGAGTGGGGAGGAATTTGCCTACAGTCATTTATATGGTGGTAAATTACCACCAGAACCAAGACTGGATGCTGGGTCTTTTGAAACACTGTCCCTCTACCCTTTCTATTAGGACACAGGGTATGTCCTAGGGAAAAGGATGGATTGTCAAGGATTGTTTGGAGAGACATTTTTTTTCCATGTTATCTCATGGTAATGTGTTCTCTACAGGAGCAGAATGGCTTTAGGGTTCAGGGGATAAGACTTGGCAACAATGTGGCTTAAGTCTGGATCCAGTCCTAAGCCCTCACTGGCTGTGTGACTGGGAAAACACTTCATGTCTCTGACCCTCACTTTCCTGGGGATGATAATACCACCTCTCTCCAGGGTTGCTTTGAGGCTCAAATGGCAAAATGCAGGTAAATTATTTTGCCAACCTTAAAGTGCTATCCCAACACGAGCTCTGAATTTGGAAAACCAATGTTATATTTTAGAGCATTAAAGTTCTGCCCCGGTCCTCAGAATCTCCAAGCTAGAAGGTCCAGCCCTTTGGTCAAACTTTTTTTTTTTAATTTCTTTGTTCTTTGAACACTATTTAAAACATCCATGTGTTAGCAGCATCCTCCTGTCCTAGAGACCATGGCAGAATTGGAGGGAAGGTGGTGCAGGGGAGAAGGGAGAGACAAACAATTGAGGATGTGCTATCCATAATGAGACATAATGGACTGCAAAAGGTTAACATCTGAACAGCCCAACAAGGCAATTTATTAAACTTATACAACGCACTGTGATGGGCACTGGGGGGTGGGGTGGGGAAGGCAGTTCCTGCCCTCAAGGAACTTTTATTCAGCTGGAGTTGCTTATGATCCGCTAAGTAAAAGATTAATCAATATTTATTAAGCTCCTACTATGTGCCATGCACTGTGTGATCACTAAGTGATCATCTTGTTTTCATTCTTCATCGATAAAGGGAAATGGAGCCCGGGAGTGAAGAGAGTGGGATGGAGGTGATCAGCAAACGCATCCTGGAGGAGGAAGTAAGACCCTGGCTGCAGCTTGAAAGCAGCCACTTAGTAAGTATCTACTATGTGGAGAATGCTGTGATAGACACGAACTGGGATGGGAAGGCAAGAAGAGCTTCCAGATAGAACCAAGGAATTCTGTGTTCCCAAACTGAACTCATCGCATTCTCCCCCAGACCTTCCTTTCCTCTTAGCTTCCTCTTTTCTCTCTGTGGGCTCCTTTAGTCAGCTGGACTCGACATCCCATGTTGTCTTTGACTCTTCTCTCATTTGCCATGTTCCAATGCAAATGCTGGCATTTTCTGGATATTGTCCTGCCCCTTGTGCCCCCTGGGCATGTGTTTGGGGCATCCCCAGGGCCTATCATACCACTTTCACATCTCTGCTCACTGAATCCTCTTCTCTCAAGACTCATCTCTGGTACCACTTCTGGCTCCATGAAGCCTGATGTCCCCACCACCACCCTAATGAAAACACCCTCTCTTTTCAAATGTTCTTAAAATATTTTTTCTGGGTCTCTCTTTTACCTTTAGCAAATTCCAGTTAACCACTTATTACCTGGAGTTACAACTTTCACGTTTGTCTTTTTTTTTTTTTTTTTTTTTTTACATTCTGGCCAAATCCTAGAAGAGGCGGGAACTATTGTTTCACGCTTTTTTTTCTTTTAACCATACCCATCACCGTATCCAGCCCTGGGGATGCCCAGAGTCATTTCATGTTTCACTATCTCAGCAATCTGCGATTCCATCTGTGGATGGGAATTCCCTCCACCTCAAGGCAGATCACACCCTGTTCATGCCTTTGATGAGTGGCTTTGGACCAAAAAATCCATCACCTCGTGGCCAAGCTTCTGGGGATGAGTGTTGCGGAAGTTAGCTCATCTGGTCCCCACAAGTCACTCCTCATTGGCAGGCCAGTCCTCAGAGTCATTATGGGACTGACCAGAGCTTGTGATTCTCTAGTGTACGGCATTCCAGAGCCCAGGGCTGCATCCATGCTCTAAAGAGACACCAGAGCAGGACTTAGTGGACTGTGTCATAGGAGGGCTTTCAGTAAATAAATACTGATATGGGGAGTTCCCCGATCATCTTGATGAACTTGTGTGTTAGTGACCCTTTGTTTGGGACTGGGGTTGCATCTTCCTATGGAGGTGCATGGTTTTGCTGAAGAGATGGAATCATAGTATAGAGTCAGAGGACTTGAGTTCAAATCCTGGCTTTGGCATCCTACTTAGGACGTGTATATGACCTTGGGCAAGTCACTTAACCTCAGCTTTCTCATCTGTAAAATGAAGGAATCAGTCTTAATGACCTGTAGGGTCCTTTTTAGTTCTAAATGTATAGTCTTATGATCCTCATCTATTCATACCTTACTGAGAGTGAATGACTGAGTTTCTTTGGGGATGGAGTGATCATTTTAGATTAAGGTTTCTTAATCTGGGGTGCAGAGATACTCAAGGGGTCCATGGGTTTCAGGACAAGCTTGAAGTCAGATGGGAAAAATCAAATCTTATTTTCATTAACTTCTAACTGAAATACATTTAGCATTTACTTCAATTAGGAATTTTTAAAAAAGCATTATTCTGAGAAGGGGACCCCAGGGTTTGCCAGATTGCCAAAGGTATCTGTGACATAAAAAAAGGTTAAGAACTTTGGTTTAGATGATTTTAAGTAAAAACCCATTCTTTGTGCTAAGCCTCTAAAAAGGAGTCTTCATCGAACATTTGGACCTATTTGCCACCCCCCCCTTTGAGTACAGGTCAGAGACAAAAGAGTAGATACTGGCCCTTAAGGGACACCTGTACTGTACCATAGACCCCTGAGGACTGCTTCCCCCATTCTTCTCCTTTACTCTAGCCCCAGCGCCAGGGCCATGGGGGAGAAGTGATAGCTCCAGGCCCCCATTCTGAGAAGACGGTGGTAAATGTCCTCAGTTGTGTAGACCTAGGAGAGGGGAAGCACATGTTCCAGTTATAAGAGTTCCTGAATTCCAGGCCACTAGAGAGAATGGGGGAATTCCAGGGTGCCTGTGTCAGGGTTGCCTCTCTGGTAACCCCACGTTTGAGCTCTAGGAGCCTTTAGAGAGACAAGGAGAGACCCTGCTCGATGCCAGCATCATGAGGATAAGAAGATCACACTAATTTCCCTTCAGAGCTGGAGGAGTAGCTATTAAGGGAATAGGCTGCAACTTGTGGGGAAGCCCTCCACTTTGCCCTGTGTTGTGACCACGGGTTATTCAGGATCCAGTGGGACGGGGGTTGCCTCCAATGCAATCTCAAAGGGAGAGTTCCTGGGAAGTGCCAGCCTTAGGTTTGCCTCATTAGTAGCCCCAAGTTCATTTTTCTTCCAGGGTCCATCCAGACCCTCAATGTAGTGCCATAAGCCTGAATGACTATGTGGGTGTCTAGGATAAAAGCGAGACTCACAAATAATGTTCCAAAATGGCCTGTCTAGCAACCCCAAATTCATTTCCATACTTAGGGGAGTCTAAACCACAGTGTGGTATTACGAGTCTGGGGGGCTATATAGGACCCTGAGTGATGGTCACTGGAAAGTGAAGAAAATTATATTGATTGTTTATGGGTTCCTATGGTTCCTTAATGTGTTTTATGTATTTTCTAAGGGAGTGAAACAAAAATGTCCAGTACCAATTATGTACTGTTACCTTAAGTGCTTTCATGGGGTCTGGGGCATTCCCCCTGCATCTATTGTGCCCTAAATAGGAGCTCTATTCTGCCATTCCTCTGAGGTAGCTATATGTATGAACAAAATAAGACAAAAGTGATGATTTTACCCCCGGGAAACTCCCAAGTTTGGATCCAGTCTGTGTAAACCCAAAGCGTAGGGTCCTGGGCTACTGGCTAATTTACATTAATGAAGGAATAAATGAATAACTAATTATTTGAAAGCTTTTCAAAAGAATGTGCTACATAATAACCTTGCTATTTAGGATGTCCCTTTATGTCAAAAATAGATTGTTACTTTTGTAAATTGTAAAATGGTTACTTTTGTATCTAGTCAATTCAACAGGCGTTTATTATGCATGAGGCGCTGAGCTTGGAGTGGGGATCTGGCTTATGAATTGATTGATGGATGGAGGATGATTAGTCCTTCAATCCAGTCGGGATGAAAACCTTCAGGATAACTGAAGAAGACAGTGGAGCTGATGCTTAGCCCCTCCAGAGAAGGGTCACTGGGAGACAGACACTGAACGTGAGTGGCTTAGACAAGGACAGCCACACGGCCGCTTCAGCTCCTACATTCTTCCCTCTGTTCTTTGACTCAGAACAGGTCTCATAATTAAAATTCATCCAGCTGCCTTCTGTCCCAAGTCAAGTGGTCCATGGAGTTCTTCCCCCACCCGTATTCTTCAAAAGCAGAAGTGGGCATTGTGCAGCCGAGAGAGACCAGGGACCATCATTTGCATGTTTTCTTGAGACTGTTAGCTGTCACAAAGGATTGAGGTTTCATTTCCCAACAAATGAACATTCGACACAGCGTTGGAGGGAGTGTGAACTTTGGGCTAGTGTGTTTTTCCTCTGGTGCCTTGTCATGAAGGACTCTGAAAATTAATTCCAGATCTAACTCCCACCCACAAACAAGGCAATCAGGATGTTTTAAACAGAATATTTCAAATTGTTCTTGATTGGGCACTCAGAATATTTCACATGTATGTGTTAGTATGTTCTTGAAGCATTTCTGGGATGTAGGTGAGTGGCAGGTACTGCTGAATAAGGGAATCACTGTCACTCTCCTGATGAAGGCTACCCAGAAGTTAATCGGGCTACCTTGGGGGATAGTCCTTTCTCAAGAGGTCTTCATGGAACATCTGAATGACCAATTGTTTGGGGGGACTTCTGGAAGGGATTTCTGCTCAGGTGTGGGTTGGTCTAGAGGATCTCTAAAGCTCCTTGTGCTTCCAGGATTCTGTAAGCTGGGCCGCGGTCCAGACTGTCCAAAATGCACTCTTTCCTCTCCCCTGCTTTACTAGGTGCCTTGTGATATCTCCAACGGGCACGGGATTGGTCCTACTTAGAGAGACAGAGTTGTTTTTCTTGAGATCACGTACAGGTGTCCAGCCATGATCCTGGTAAGTCCACTACAGAGGCAAAAGGCACATCACATGTCATGTCAGTGGAGGAAAGGTTTTTTTTTTTTTAAATCAAAGCTAAATCAGACTTACTAACATGTGACATCAGGTTAATCATCTGGCTGCTTGTGGCCTCAGTTTCCCCATTGAACAATGAGGAAATTGGATGAGATGGACTCCAAGCTCTCTTCCAGAGCTAAATCTCATGACCCCGTGTCAATAGGCAAAGGTTGACTCAACGCATGGTCTGAATTGAATGCTCCTAGAAAGACAAAATATCCTAGAATCCAGAAGCTTTTCCACTCAGAGAGAAAAGACTTTCACCTGCAGGAAACCTTGCTGCACCCTCCTAATTGCTAGTGTTTTCTGCCTCCTCAAACTGTCTTGTATGCCCTTATGTAGATGGAAGCTCCTTGAAGCGGTGAATTGTTCCATTGGAATCTTAGCATTGCAGTACCTGCACAGTGCCTTGCTCTTAGGAAATGCTTGTTGGATTGAATTGAGTAAATGTCTTATTACCCAATAGAATGTCAGTTCTTTGAGCAAAGCAACTACTTCATTTCTTCAATTTGCTGTGGAGCTAAGGAATTGAATTAGCTGATTTCTAATGTCCTCTCCAGTTACAATGATTCTCAATGCCTAGTACCTTGTCCTGTATTTGGTGGGTCATTCAGTCAGTCAATAAACATTCAAACACCTACCATGTGCTAAGCACTGGGAATATAAAAAAATGTTAAAAATAGTCCCTGCTCTCAAGATAATCACAATCTAGTGGGAGAGACAACATGCACACAATTATATACAAACAAGCTTGGTACAGGAGGAATTCGAAATAACAGGCACTAAAATTAAGAGGGCTCAGAGAAAGGCTTCCTGTGGAAGACGGGGTTTTAGCTGCCACTAGAAGGAAGCCAGGAGGTAGAGAGGGATGAGGAGGGGAAGCCTCCCAGGCCTGAGGAAGAGTCCCTTAAAACACCTGGAGTCAGGAGACCTGGCGTTCTGTTCATGGAACAGACAGGAGGCCAGTGTCACTGGAAAGGTGGGGGGTGGGCAGGTTCTACAGAGGAGTTTATATTTGATCCTTGAGGTGACAGGAAGCCACTGGAGCTTGAGTAAGGGATGGGCTGCACTGGGCTTTAGGAAGATTGCTTTGCCAGCTGTATGGAGGCAGGAAGGCTTATCAATCTCTATTGCAATAGGCCAGGCAGGAGGGGACAAGGGCCTGTGCCAGGATGATGGCAGTGCCAGGGCAGAGAAGGTGCCATATCTGAGAGATGTTGCCAAGGAAAACTCAATAGGCCCTTGGCAACAGATTGAATATAAGGGGTGAGAAAGTTAGGCATTGAAGACAACACCTACATTGCCAGCCGGGATACTGGGAGGATGATGGTGCCCTCAACAATAACAGGGAAGTTTGGAAATGGGATGATTTCTGGGAAGAAAATGAGTTCAGTTCTGGACATGATGAATTTAAGGTGTATACAGGATGTCCAGCCTGAGATGTTAGGAATTAAGATGGAGATGTGAGACTGGAGGTTAGCAGAGAGGTTAGGGCTACATAAGGAGATTTAAGAATCGTCAGCTGGCGATGGTAATTAAATCCATGGGAGCTGATGAGGTCACCAAGTGAAATAATGTAGAGGAAGAAGAGGGCCCAGGACAGAAACCTGGGGAACACCCAGGATTAGTGGATGAAGATCTGGCAAAGGAGATTGAGAAAGAGCAGCTAGGTGGGTTAGAGGGGAACCAGGAGAAAACACAAAGAAAAGAGGAGGGCGTGATCAAGGGGCAGAGGCTGCAGAGAGGTTAAGAAGGAGAAGGCTTGAGGAAAGGTCCCTAGATCGGACAATTCAGATTGGTTAGTCATTTTAGAAAGGGCAGTTTCAGTTGATGATGGAGTTGGAAGCTGGACTAGAGAGTTAAGAAGAGAGTGGGAGGAAGGGAGATGGACACTTTGGTTGTAGATGGTCATCTCAAGGAGTTTAGCCACAAAGGTGGGTGAGCTATGGGATGATAATTGGTGGGAATGGAGGGATGAAGGGAGTGTTTTCTGAGGCTAGGGGAAACATGGGCATGTTTGTAGGCAGTTGGGAAGGAGCTGGTGGATGGGGAGAGATTGAAGATAAGTGAGAGAATGAAGATGATGGAGAAGGCAAATCTGCTGGAGAAGACAGGATGGAGTGGCTACTTAGTAAATGCTCATTGATTTGTTGAATCGAATTTTTAAGGTGGCCCCGTGTCCCAGATCTTCAAACCACCATCCCCAAAAGTAAGGCCTCAGTGTGGGTGCTGACAAAGTGCTTTGTAATGGATTAGGATGGTCTATTTTTAACCACCATGTTAAAAAAGAATGATGCGTTGCCTGCGAATCCTCACTTCTCAAGCTGCCAGCCGCCCTTTCATTTCCTCCTCCCAGCCAAGTTATGCTCAGTCCATTGACGCTCATTTGCTCTGCTTGTTTTTATTGAGCCATGCAAAAGATGAAATGCTCAGTGATTTACTCGCCCTGTCGCTGGTCTGAATTTTGGGAAGGAAAAAAAAAAAGCGTGGCCAGCAGCATTCAATGTGCTAAACAGAACAGGCCCTGCAGGAAACGGAGCGGCTTTCTCAAACAAATGAAGAACAGCTGGGACAGAAATGGGTTTCCTCAGGATCATGCTGTTTACATTTGTACAAGGCCAACTGACTGATTGGGGAATTTCAATTAAATTAATGTGACATGAGCTGGCCAGAGGGGCCAGGCGACCTCCTCCTCCTCCTCCTCCTCCTCTCTCCCTGGCCTCCCAAGTCAGCAAAAGAACCTGTTGAGCAGTGAAGGGGGCAGTGCCATCTGGCCACTATTCAGGAATGAGCAGGCCCTGTCCAAGCCCAAGGAGACCTTTCCAGGGGTTAGGGGTCTGCTCCAAGAAGAAGGCTATGGGAAAGATCTTCCCAGGACTTTGAGTTGGATAAGATGCCTGGGTCTATCCCCAACTGGGCTTTGAAGGACCTTCATAACTGTGGGAACAGATATGGGCAACACCCCACATTTCTAAACTTATTCCCCACTATTTCCCTGACTGTTTCCACCAGGTGGGCCTCCCTACCATTCCCTAAACACACCACATTTATTCTTTCCTATGTATCTTAGTTGGAAAAGAGTTAGATTTGGAGTCAAAAGACCAGGGTTCACATCCCAGCTGGGTGACCTCAATCCCTACTCGCCTTTGGACCGTAGTCCCTCACCAGTAAAAGGAGGGCCTCCCAGGTCCCTTCCAGCTTGCAGTCCATAATCCCACGGTCCCCCTACTCAATACTAGGTGCCTGGCACGTAGTAAACCCTTAATAAATGTTTCTGGATCAATAGAGTGACTATCTTAGAGTTGCCTGCTCTTGCCTGTAGGATAAAATATCAAGTCTACTCTTGAAAGACCTTCACAAACCAGATCCTTCCAGCTCTGTGACATCCTACTTCCCCTCTGACACCTGGCAATCTAACCCAACAGTTCTTTTCTTATTTTCTTACATAGGAGGATCCATCTCCCACCTCTATGTCTTTGCATTGGGCATCTCCCATTCCTAGAGAATAGTCCCTTCTCACCTTCATATCCCAGAATCCCTTTCTTTCTTCAAGATGAAATTCAAGCACTCGCTTCTTCATGAAGCCTCTCCTGATTACCCACTGCCCACCCTGAGTTGCTAGTGCCTTCTCCTCTAAGCTACCTTGTGTTTAATGGCCAGGCACAGCACACTCTCTGCCGTGTCACCAAGAAGCCTCTCCACGTGGACTCCTCTCTCCCACTAGAATGTACGCTCTTTGAGTATAGGGAATGTTTCAATCTTTGGATTTGTAGCCCAGTGCCTGTCACATGAGTGGGGCTTACTAAATGCTTGCTGATTGATAAGATGCCATCCCTTTCCCCCTGCCATCCAAGTCCCCCAGGCTCTCCAAGGTCCTACTCAAACTTACTTCCTTTACCAGTGGCCTTACAGTACCCACTCCAGCAGTCTGTCCCACGGATTCAGTCTATGACATCATTGAGGACCTAATGAAGTTCCTGTTTATCTTTTTTCTATGATTGTTTAAGTCTTCTCCCCAGTAAGACTGTATGCTCCTGGAGGGCAAGAGGCCCTTTTGTCTTCTTATCCTCCCCTGTTGCCCCCAGCCACACTGCTTCAGGGATAGATGGAATACACATTGACCTTCACTGATTGCTTCCATTTTGGCAACAATAGGGAGAAGAAATGGGAACTGGTGAAAATGTGCTGTTATCCTAGAAGGAGGGAAAAACCCCTTGAACTCGTGGGGTATTTGAAGGCAGAAGTCAAAGAAGGGAATCTCATTTTCTTTTGGTGTCAGGCTGTGATGGAGGGAGCCAACAGGAGAAGAGAAATGGGATGTTTGGCAGTTGAGAGCTGAGGTATTCTAGGTGTTGATTCATCCAGATATGCTCTGGGACTTCTAGAAAACTCTGGGGGACAGCTTGCGATTGTGGTGACTAGAAAAATAATAACATAGGAATTCTTCCTGGAAGCTTTATTGATGTTCTTGGGAAGGTTTCTGTTTACAGGGGCGAGTGCACTATCTTCTTAGGAAATAAAGTCAGAGAGATTTAGCAGGTCTCACCTTGGGGTATGAAGAAGTTGGCAGGTGGTATAGACCCTGGGACTTCTAGGTAAGAAAAGGGTGTGTCCCAAATCATTCCTCAAGGTGATCATGGAAGGCCCCAGTTAGAAGTTTTTCTCAGCCTCCCCTTGAAAGGGCTCCTGTCTTTGTTGTTGCATCCTGGCTATTGGGCTCTCCTTCAACTTTTATCAGGAAGGACCGACCTCTTGTGTCCATTCCTCTGATATCTATTAAGCATCGACTAGGGTCAGAGCACTGTATGACCCAATGAGCCATTTTTTTCCTTCTTAAAAGAGAGTAAAAAGAATCGTCCTTTTTGGAAGAAGTGTTGACACAGCCGAAAGGAGACCCAGGTGAGACAGTCCTGCTGAAGGTGCAAGTTCAG